GATATAATTATCATATAATGCTAAAGTACTCATAATATATATTTATTATTCATAGATATTCATATAAACACTACGATATCGTTACTAAATAATAATAACTAATATTTCCAATAAATATCATCATATACGTAGCCATATATAATAGATATATATACAATATATTTATATATTTATATATATATATACTATATTATAATATATTAGTCATATATAATTACTATATACGGTAATATCATAGCTAATATACTATAATATACTATAATAGTATATAATAAATATAGATATAGATATATATTACGTAAAAATAATATATTATATTATATCAATACATATACTTCGTATTATTAAAATATATATATAGTATATATATATGATATAATAATATAATATATATATATAATATTTTATACTCACTGATCCTCTCCATATCATCCTCCTCTACGTAAGGACATTAATAAAATATATGACTGTGCATATATATATACTCAAATATTCACCGGTGGTTAATCCATATATACGTACTAGTATTTATACGTTGAGTACGTGCTATAATACCGTATATATACCAGATTCACTACTGCATCTTAAAATAAGAGCTTATGATTATGTATACTTATCAATAAATAGTATCGAATTATACGCATAATTTATATTACTTAATACCTGTAAATAGGTGTAGGATATATAATTACATGTATCTTCTACTATATAACTTATATCATACGTGTATATCATCTTCTGAGACGATAACGTGCAATACTTAATCTATATTATATAACGATACGTGTATAAAATAATAACAATAGGCGTATTATTATTTATGTCTTTTTTCTAATATTATTGAGAGATCATACATATAGATATATAGGGTAGATAGTAATAATGATATAATTCACAAGTAAGTCCAATCCAGATACTATAATATCTCCATTACCTAGTAGTCATAATCGATATAAAAATATAGCTATATATTGTATACTGTGAGGTAATAAATATTATAACTCTATATCATATTATACGTTGTAAGATATATTTACACTCGACGTGTAATATATAACATACGCCATGCTATTATCTAGTGGATGAAACGTCAATACAATTGGGAATTCGTGAATACGATACGGGTTCTATAATAATTATTCGATATTATTTATATATTAGTTACTGGTCTATGATTTCAATATATACTGTCTGAATATATGTTACTGCAGTGTTATTACTATCATATATATCGGGGTGGTTAATACAATTATAATAGAGTATGAGAGATATATATATACGTGCTTTAATTCTATATACGTGTATCATATGACATTACGATATAATATGTATATAATTTTATACTATATACTATCTACCTATATATAAATACTTTATAGAACTAGTAATACCATAATCAACGGAAAGAATGGATTACCGGATGGAGTAACTGGGCTGCCGCTAAATAGCCGTTGAGCTATACGCCAGGAGCAGGAGAAGCATCGACGTTTCGAAAGATGTAAACGATGATCTGTAAATACTAAAAGATGTCTGAGGTAGAAGACTGATTATCTGCCTGATGGACCAGCATCAAAGAAGAGCGACATACTTATACTAGTATATATATACGTGTAAATATAACATTATTTACGTGTATACTGTATATCACTAGTATACGTAGTATCAAATCACTAATTATTCGCGGTATATTATTATATATAATACGGAGTACTATGTTACTACATTAGCTAAATGATATATAGTGTATATACTTATATCTGATATCAGTATTATTATATATGATAGAAACTAATATTTAATATAACTATAGTATATATTAATTACTACGTTGGTATTGATACTAATGATATCGAGCATTATTGTATATAGTCAATAAGAACTATTATAGATATATATAATAAGATAGTATACTTATGATATATATAGAACATATATATATATATATATATATATATATAATATTATTATATACTTATATATATAGTTATTACCGTCGTGGTGATAATATATATACGAAGTATATTATGACTTAGTATATACGATATTTTATATAGAATATTGTATAGTAATACTTATCATATATATTACATATTATTATATGATAATAGTAATAAGATAATATGACTATAATACGTGTATTATTATATCAGTATATATTTATATTATACATGATAATTATAATATTAATAGGTATAATAATATATGATACGTATATATATACATATATATATACGTGGATATATATATATGATACTATATATCTATATTTAATATATAACTATATTACGTGTACTATATCTAGATATACATATATATATATATATATATAGTTACTACTATAATATTATATATAATCAGTATATATATTAATATTAAGTAATCATATATACGTGTATAGTATATGAGCTACTATAGTATAATATAATTATATATAATATAATATGATAGTATATATTCATAATAGTATACTATTGTACTATATATGATACGTTATGATAATATATATAGAGTATGATGATTATATATATATATATTAACTAAAATATATTTAATAACATATATTTATGAATGTTATATTATATAATACTATATATATATATACTAATATATATATAAACACTATACGTGCTTATATATATACGTTGTAAATATATATATAGTATATTATCTTATATATATTACTAATAATATTATATAGTATTATATTATATATACTAATTTA